AAGCCAAAATTCCTATCTGAAATTCATAAAGCTTTCAATGAATAGCTCAGCCATGATCATGAGACTCTTAATCTCAGGGATGTGGGTTTGAGCCCCAGGTTGGGCAAGATTCCTGCATTGCAGGGGGTTGGACTAAATGACCCTCATGGTCCCTTCCAACTGTACAGTTCTATGATTCTATGAATATCAGCCCTTGATGGCTATATACCAGCCCCAGGATGTGACTTCTTGGGGCAACAGAGACCACAGTTGTTCCCTATGTCCCATCTATAGGCCTCCCAGAGGCATCTGAGTTGTGAAAAATGGTCCTAGACTAGATAGGTCAGCTACAACAGAGCGCTTCTTATGTTATTTATATAACTGAGGATTTAAGATTTTAACATTGTTACCTGATCCAAACCCTTGGGGTGGAACAGCCTATGATGCAGAGAAATAAATATTCCAAAATTGTGTTGTGTAAGGTAACCAGCCTAATATAAGCACTGGAGGTGGGTGGGTTATTTGGTTGTTGTTTTAATATTGATTATGTATTTTGTGGTTTTATATTTTGATTTTTATTCTGTGAACTGCCCTGAGACCTCTGGGTATAGGGCGGTATATGAATTCAATAAATAAAATAAATTCTTGAGTCTAATTAAAGCATGAAAGGGGTTAAAACCATAGAGTAAACTGTCCTGCACGGCTTAGTCTGTGCCACTTCCCCTCACCGTGGAAGGAAATGGGCCACCAAGCCTTTCGTTCTCCCATTTTGCATGTAAGTAAGTATGTGAGGAGCTCTGAGCTGCTTGCTCCCGCCAGTCACATGGCTTTAACCATCCTCTTTTGTTTCAGTCAAGAACGGAGCCTGAAACCAGCATTTTCTCTATACCAAGGCACTTTTACCTTTTGTAACCAACCAACATTTAACTTCCTGTGCATCTTTATTCTGACCTTTGAAGAATTTTGTAAGTAAACTATTTGATAACTTACCGAATGTGTGGTCATTTTCTATTCTAGGGTAGTGGGATACTATGGAAGGAATTATTCAAACCAGGCAATTTTTAGTACAATAGAAAGGGCACGTTTTAAAGGCTATACAGCATATATTTCCATGCATACTTTCCTTTGCTACATGTTATGCAACATTAAGTATCTGCTGGGGTTCTTTCACCAAAGAGCGCTTTCCTCAAACTTGGGTTTGGGCTTCCAAGGAACCAGACAAATACAATCACCAGAAATTTGGACGAAGGATAAGTGCAACCCTCTCCATGCTTTCACACACACACCTTTATTTATTTGGCAGAACAAAACTGAGAAATACATCCATGACTTGATTCCCTAGGTGAGAGTCTATATTGATCTTACCCAGCTCCCACTGCAACATTTTCAAAGGTGTTTGCACTATTCCAAGGTGTTTTATTCAAAGGTGCATAAAATAAACTAGCTAGAATGATTATTATGACAAACTAAGAACAATTATCATCAAGAGATAGGAACCATCATCTCCCTAATCTACAATATCATGGAGCAGTGGTGTATCATATGAAAACCATCACAAAAAAACTCCGTTCTATAGCTTTTAATCAAGATTCTTAGTACATTTTGCAACGTTAATAAAGGGGAGATCTTTTCTGTCTTGACAGAATGTGCTATTTGTTCATTTAATTTCATTTCACTTCTAATTTGTATACCGCCTTTCTATATTGCTACACACAAGGCGGTTCAAAAATACATTGGCCACATAGGTTAAATACAAATAACAATAACAACAATAATAATAAACATTAGCATTAACACATTGGCTCATGAATGCGGAAATTATTAGTAGTAGCATCTGAAAAATGATAAACATTTGAGTATGTTTATTACCCATCTGCTTTCAGCAAATACTACCTGAATTTATGCGTCAATAACTCTTGACAGATTATTATATATGCTGTGCTGCTTAAGTTGTTTAGGGCAGGCCACTAACTTGTAAAACTATTTCTGTATTACAGCCGATGCCAACCTGATGCCCCACAGTATGTTCTGGTCTCTCCCTCCCATCACCCCCAGCTTCTTCTACTGCATTCTCCAGGAAGATCCTCTCCACCTCCATAACAATTAGCCTTGGAAAACAGGCTTCCCCCTGCCACTGCCCAGTATCAAACTGCGGCAGGACAGCCTTTGGCACAGCACACAGGAAAGGCAAACCCCAACAGATGGCTTTCCACAAACCTAATTGGCGGGGTGGGTGGGTATGTGTGGCCTCCAGCAGAAGGCTTCTCACAAGCCAGAAACAGAAGCCCCATACTGCAGGCTGGCAGTTCCTCTCCCTTGTTTTATATGGTACCTGTTTCATCTCCCTCCTCATCTACTGTCACAACCTCCTATCCGACTTTCTAGTACCACACCTTGGCCTTCTCACCTCCACCCAGAATTCTGCCACCAAAACCACCCGTCTCTTTTCACCTTCAGACCACGGGAGAGCCTTCCTGAAATCCTCATGGATCCAGCGAGAGGTCCCTTTCCTTACAGTAAAAGCCACCGACGTCGCTGTTCTCAGTTGCCTGAAGGTTTCCTGCTATCTCAAATAACTCTGCCCTTTCTCCTTCTCACAGCTAAAGCTCCCTCCTAGAACACTTATCTGTGCTTTTCTCCTCCTTCAAATCTTTCCCCGAAAACACCTGTGATGGCAAAGCCAAGCATATGTGACCAAAGTAAGCATACGCTCCCAATTACCCTCATCCGCCATCTTTATCCCCCCTCCCTCCCGTTTCAAATTTTAGATTGCTAACTGCTCAGGCTGAGGGCCTGTTTTTGTTACTCCATAAAGTGCAATGGCGTTATATAGTAATACACACAAGCGTCATATTTAAAGGCACTGATAAGCACTCTCGTTTTGACCCTGTCTGATGCAAGAAACGGACCCTGTTCTCTCCTCCCCTTCCACAACTTCAGTCAGTGCATGACTAGGGTCCAGGGTTGCGCCTGAAGCCCCATTTCCAACCTTGATGTGTTGAGCAAAAGGAATGACAGGTGCTATGTGCCTGGGTGTCATGTGCATGCATTGAATTTCCTTCATGCTTCCAGTGAACATGCGGAGACTGGGAGGAAGGCACAGGAGGCCTTGCCCAATCACACACAGACTGAACACACAGAGGGAAGAGCTACAGAAGATCTACATCAGGGGTCAGCAAACTTTTTCAGCAGGGGGCCGGTCCATTCTCCCTCAGGCCTTATGGGGGGCCGGACTATATTTTGAAAAAAATATACTGTATGAATGAATTCCTATGCCCCACAAATAACCCAGAGATGCATTTTAAATAATGACCGCTCCCCGCTTAAACGGGGGGCGCCCTTTGCGTGGACGCGTGCAGCCCCTAGATCTGGAGCGGCTCCTACAGCATAGGCTTGGCTTTGCCTTCCCTCAGGTGGGATACCTGGAGGTCTCCGCCTACCTCAGTCAGCTGTCCAATCCCACCTGGGGGAAGCGTTGCCAAGGAGACCAGGCCTGGTAGGGGAGGGATTACCTGCCCACACAATAGAGGGAGGATCTTACCTGGGAATCCTCACTTGGCTCCAGAGCTTCTCCCACCCTACCCACCCTCAGTTAATGTCTTATTTTGCAGGTTAACTTTTCTTCACAGGTTTTGCAGGTTAACTTTTCTTCACAGGTATGCGGGCGCTGCTACGTTAAGGTCGCTGTTAAAGGGCCGGAAAGGAATTTCCCTGCATTGGCAGGTTTCGCCTTTCCCGTAGCAAAACGTCACAACTTTGGCGGTATCAAGCCTTGGGCGGAATCCTTTTGTCCATCTTCCTCTTGCGGCGGCGATACCAGGGTTCCCCGTTAAAGGGGTTTTATGAAGGGAGGCTTTGGCCGTACACCGAAAGGTCGTCATTGCTCTCTCCTGCGGCGGCGGCGTTACGGGGGCGGCCATCTCTGCTTGAACATATGTTCTCCAGAGCTGGCCCATCCCCCCCACACACACTGGATAACCCTGATGCTCCCTTGGTCCCCGGCCGGGGACCAGGGAGGGAGAACGCCCAATGCCTGAGCCAAGGTCTACCCACATTTGAAATTTAATAAAGTTGTGGCCAATTTAATCCCATAGCACGTTGTCTTGAGTCGTTATTCCACGTGACGGGGGGACCGTGCAGGATCTGGGGACTCCGCCTGTCCACGCAAAAGGACACATTCTACTCATGTAAAAACACACTGATTCCTGGACTGTCCACAGGCCGTATTTAGAAGGCAATTGGGCCGGATCCGACCCCTGGGCCTTAGTTTGCCTACCCATGATCTACGTCACCACTGATGGGTGTGTAGTTCTTATATGTACTAAAGGAGCTGCTTTCTTGACAAAAGATGGTCTTCTTTTCCTAGCCAGTAAGGGTAAATGACCCCCAATTTCATTGAGACGTCTAAAATAATACCGATGCTCAGCTTAGTCCAGAGCTCTGCAGATTGACTGCCAAGCACACAGAGGCCCCTGCAATTCCAAGAGCTCCCCCCACTGACTTATTTGTGCCATACTTTCTCTGACAAAAACCAAACTCACATACGACTTTCAAATAAATGCCAACAAAATTAAAACAATCCTAAAAATAAAACAAAGCTAATGAATAGCAGCAGACTTCAGTGCAAGGGACTGTTGAACAGTTGAAGTCCGTTGGCAGAGGTTAACTACAAATAACTACAAAAAATACTATATATATATATATATATATATATATTCATTGGGTGCAGTGCACTTGAATCCTAAATATATCTAATGTTGCCAAATATATATTTCTGACAAGACACCAGCTCTATAGGTTTTCAATGAGAGACTGTTAAACAAGTAAAGCAATCCTTTTTTTGCATAAATTCAAAGGAACATTGCTTTAACAAAGCATATTTAATACGGGGTGCATAAAAGAGAAGGAAATCCCATCAGATCCCATGAAAGCAGTAGTAAGTAGAAGAACAGAGGCATCATTGTAGTATTTGTAGCCTCACACCAGTCACTTATTATATGAATAGTTATTCTTGATTCCCCCCCCCAAGCAAATTCAATTACTGTAACAACTTCCAAGACGTTAAGGAAATCTCTCTACATAATCGGTTAATGGTGGCATGTTATGGAAATGCCTTCTCTGCTACATGTCACAATGTCTGCTCACTTCTCCAAAACGAGCAAATGCATGTGATATTTTAATATGCTTTAAGAGCACAATGTGTCTCTTGGGAAATATAAGCCACAGGTTCTTCCAACAAAAATGTGGCAGCTAAAACAAATGCTTCACTGGTAAGTGTAGAATATGAGGACAATATTAGAATGAGACTCTGGTGGAGAGATGGGTTTTCTCACTTTTTCTAGTCAACGAGAGATCTCATTCCCAAAGCCCTCCATTCTGCAAAGTGCAACCACCATCTTAAGACATCAGCAGCTGAGGATTCATGATAACTATATTACATATGTTTGCATGTAAAGGCCAATCTCCGTGATTAGCATTCATCGCTCATCTTGTTTGGTTGTGCTGTCTGGCAGGTGCTGGGAGGCGTGAATACAGATGGATCACTTATCCCAAGCTTTAGATCAAAGAATCGGGTGGAGGTTGTCACGCTGTAGTTCCTGGTATAGGTCTCCTGCACTGGGTAACAGTCTTTGACTGTATAAACGCCAACCCAGGTTTCAGCTGTAACAAAGCACAAAGTATGAGTTTATATAGGGGAAGCATAGATAATTTTCAAGTTTTCATTATGCCAGCAAGAAGAAGTCATTTTTTTCCCCAAATGAAGGGTTAATGCTACAATCGTCAAGCCCGTTTGGTTTGGAAATAACTCCCATCAGTTTCTGTGGGATTGCTTTGCAGAAATCCTTGGGAAGACTGTGGTCCCAAAAGTTACAGAGACTTGCTTTAAATTTAAGCTGTTTTTCAACTTAAAAGTCAATGCTAATCTTCTTGGATCTGCAGAGGATTATAAACTTAAATTGCTTAACCAGGTATAACCATGGACAACCAGAACCCTGGTTACACACAGGCATTGGTGCTCAGAGATTCGGGTGTGCCCAAAAATGCTATCTTCTCATGGCTACTTACAACATATAAAATCATTTTAAACCATATCAAACGTCAAACAATACACCAATAACAACAACAACATATTTCCCTTCTGTGATCCATTTCCATCAGCCAGCCTCTCTCTCTCTCAAAAAGAGAAAAAGTCCCTCCCAATTAATTCATTAACCAAAGTATGCTTACGTTTCCTAGCTGGTTTTCTGTCGGACCATTCCTGTACCATAATTTGGTCCCCAGGTCCTCCAATGTAGTTCTGATCTTCGTAGGTTGAGTTGTCAGGAATATCATAAGGATCCCACGGCTCAGTCAAGGCAATCTTGGAACACAGCTTTGTCACTTGCTCAATCTGAAACATCACCGTGTCTTTATACAGGTAGATATATTCAAAAAATCTGAAAAAGCAAACCAAGAGCAAAGGTAATATCTGTGAATTCTTGGGTGTGCATCATTACGTGACAGATTGTGCACATCGACCCCAGAGATTTAAACTGGCTCATGGGAGCCCTTAGGACTGTAGTTCTTGGGGGGCAAGGGATTTCAAATAGGAGAGTTTAAACACTGTTGGCAGACTACAATTCCAAGGAGTCTTGGGTCAACCCATGGACCAGCCAGATGGGCAGGGTATAAATAATAAATTATTATAATTATATATATAATTGCTGCTTACTGCATTAATATTTGCATTTACGTAAACTGCTCTGTGAGTTTCACCTGAAAAGAAGTACCTAACTGTTTTCAATATATACATAACATGATCTGTTAATAACGCTTCCAAAAATATTCGCAAGCAACTGGTGCCTAAACACACAGACTTCCTTTACTATTATAGACCAGCTAAAAATACATTTCTATTTCAAAGAAACAAAAAGTCTAGTTTTAATTGTATTAAGGAAGCAGGTGTGAGTAAAAATCAAGAATGACACATTTATTTTTCACCCAAGGACAGGCCCAAGAAATAATAGCAAGGGGGACAAGACCTGTAAATAATATTGGTTTAAAAATATAGCCTGTCACTGGTACAAGCTCTCTCTTGGTCAGGGAAAGGTCAGTGAACCCACTGAGCGTGTTTAGATAACCCTAAGCAGATTTAAAGCACACTTTTATTATTTGCTAGTTGACATGAATTCAAAAGCAAGTCAGGTAAAACCTAAAGAGCGAGACACGCATTGCACAGATGCAATTTTGAGCCTAAATAGTAGCAGGAAACTAGAAGGAAATGTCAGTACAGTGGGGCATAATGAAGCAAAAGTTCAAAGACCCGCTCTTGGAATATCCAGTTGCAAAAACCCAGTATATTTTAAGACTGCTCTTCTGGCTACTTTTAAGTATCTCCCAATAAAGAAAATTGCCTCCCCACTCCCTCATCTCCTCTGAATTGGGCTTGCAAACTGGAAGGGAAATGGTGCAAAACAGGCCACAAACTACACTCATCAACAGAGTCCCCACAAAACCCATGACTATGTTTGTGCACATGCCAGACAAGTGAAAATATTGGTGATCCATTCTGGATCTTTCCCAAATATCAGAATTTTTGTGGTAGAAGAAGCAGAAGAAGCGTAGGTTTCCCCGTACTGTACATTGTTCTCAATGCCCCTTCCACTATCTCCATTCCTATCGTCACAGGTTAGCCACACGTGTGCCTGCTTCAGCTCAGAGGCAGCCATATTCTCCGGTTCAAGAGAAAAGGATTGAAGCACAGCTGTTAGGCAACCATAGCACAGAATCCTCTAACTACCTTCAAGCCAACTTAATAAGCACGATAAATGGGGAAATGGAGAGTTGGGGAATTAAACAACCAGTCAAGTAGAGGAAATTGGGCTGTAGACAGAGCTACAGGGTCAGGATTAGCAAGTGAGATCTCCATTGTCCAGTCCTACCCAACAAGGTACAGTCAAATCTGATACAGCCCCGTCAGAGAGTGTAACTTGAGAAAGCGCATTTTGAGCAACTGAAGGTTGTTGAATACCAGATTTAATGGTTTTCATCCAGTGATACTTAACAGTTTTACTCGTTTTTAGCAACTGTATATTTCTCATTCATGTGCACCACACAATACACTTCATGGTCCTGAGCTGCAGACTAGGTTTTCTGATTTTATTTATTTATTTATCTGATTTTATTTTTTTATTTTAACCCAATATTATTTTTCCGCCTCTGCCTGAAGAGTTGAGCACCTCTTCTGGGGTTTCTTTCTGACAGATACTACAGGAAAGGACATCTTTGTATCTTTCCCTTGAGCTCTTTTCGGAGAACCTGGCGCCTTTGGAATCCTTACTCCAGATTCAATTTCAGACACATTCCTCCTATCGCCCATATTTCCCACTTCAATCAAAAGACCGCAGGCAACCTTTAAGCATCTCACTCTAGGTCTTCCAACACCTGCTACTATTTACCGCCTCCAGTTCACCACCCTTTCTCGGGGGAGTTCAAAAATCTATATTTACTGTGTTCCCTCTCCAAATATAAGGCGAAGACCATTTACTATAATCCCACCCATCAAACCATCCCAAAGCAAAATGCAAATCTGAAGACGAGGTGATTTGAATCAATTGGTTCAGTCGATTTTGGATTATGCTCTTAGTAAACAGAGTTAAAAGTTAAGAGTGCCGGCAATAAGCTCAATTTATTTTTAAAAATCATGAAGAGTGCAGCTCCCAATACACAGTGTGTCACGAGCATAGCTTGGGATAGCTAACTTGTTTGGCCTGAAAGTTGCATTCTCCTTCCGAGGGCTGCATGCCAGCAGTGGGTACTGCCACATTCTTCCATGCACTGTGTGCATACACCACGCATGTACATGCACACATGAGGCACTCTTTACCATAGGGGTCGGGGGCCTCAAGTATTAATCAGGGCCAACTATCCGTGTTGGTCCCACATGAGCCGATAAAAGGACCAAAGAGGTAACTTAAAAGGTAAAGGTAAAGGGACCCCTGACCATTAGGTCCAGTCGTGACCGACTCTGGGGTTGCGGCGCTCATCTCGCTTTATTGGCGAGCCGGCATACAGCTTCCGGGTCATGTGGCCAGCATGACTAAGCCGCTTCTGGCAAACCAGAGCAGCGCATGGAAACGCCGTTTACCTTTCCGCCGGAGTGGTACCTATTTATCTATTTGCACTTTGACATGCTTTCGAACTGCTAGATGGGCAGGAGCTGGGACCGAGCAATGGGAGCTCACCCCCTTGCGGGGATTCGAACCACCAACCTTCTGATTGGCAAGTCAAAGTGTGGGGGGGGGAGAGGTTTGCTTCTGCTTTCTGGCTGAGACTAGTGGCACGTCTCCGAAAGGACAGGCTGCATGTTGCAAGCAAGTGGTAACTTTCAGAAATAATCATAGATCATAGAATCATAGAGTTGGAAGAGACCACAAGGGCCATCGAGTCCAACCCCCTGCCAAGCAGGAAACACCATCAGAGCACTCCTGACATATGGTTGTCAAGCCTCTGCTTAAAGACCTCCAAAGGAGGAGACTCCACCACACATCTTTCTTTCTTTTTATCTCCACAAAGGGTGTGTGTATGAGGTGCATAAAATCCATGCATATTTGAATGTTGTCTTTTGTGAAATAGTTCCCATGCATAGAAAACTATCATGTCAAGAAGGCTAGCCAGAAATCTCGACAGAGTTTTCTACAGAAGCTGCCATGCATGTGATTCCCCCACATGACCATGATATCCTGAGAGAGCAGTACAATGTGATCTTTCACCTTGTAGACCAGCCCTTTCCCCATACATTATACAGACCTGAATATTGTTACTTGGACTTCATCCGAGGATACCAGAAAGTTACTTGTTGTAAAATAAACCCATTGTCTATATTGCAGTTACCCTGAGTGTCACACTGCTTCAACGACCAGTAACCAACAGTTACGCCTCCCCAGTGCCAATTTATATGAGCAGGAGAATAATTGATGAAGACTGTATCACTTCGGGACGCGGGTGGCGCTTTGGTCTAAACCACTGAGCCTCTTGGGCTTGCCAATCAGAAGGTTGGCGGTTCGAATCCCCGCAATGGGGTGAGCTCCCATTGTTCGGTCCCTGCTCCTGCCAACCTAGCAGTTCGAAAGCACATCAAAGTGCAAGTAGATAAATAGGTACCACTCCGGCGGGAAGGTAAATGGCGTTTCCATGCGCTGCTCTGGTTTGCCAGAAGCGGCTTAGTCATGTATTTTTTTAAAAAATGTATATTTCAACATCTTTTTCATCTCATTATATATCATTTCCCATAAGTTTTTTACTTTCTTACATTCCCATCACATAAGATTAAAAAAAAAACAGAAGAATTTTTACGTGGTATTATAGGTGAGTATATTAATAGACAAGATGTTGTTGTTTTTATATACAACAACAGCGGCAAGAGTATTGTTAGCCCAGAAATGGAAGCAAGAAGAAATTCCAATGAAAGAAAAATGGCAGACAAAATTAATGGACTACGCAGAATTAGACAAAATGACAGGAAGGATTCAAAACCTGCGGGACCAGAGATTTACAGAAGATTGGAAGAAATATACAAACTATTTGAAGAGCAACTGTAATCAACAAATTACGCTAGTAGGACTACAAGAAGTTTTGTAAGGAGAAATATATGAAATATTGCAAAGTAGAGAAAGAATAGAGATATTAGATATGAGATTTAAAGGTAATAGTGAAAGTAAGAATTGTATATTAAGTGAATAGATTGGAAAATTTTTAGATGTGAATGATGAAAGTGAAAAAATTGTGTAAGATGTAAAAGTATGTTTAATTATTGTTGAAAATGATATGTTAAAAAAACTAATAAAAATTTATAGATGGTAGATAGATAGATAGATAGATAGATAGATAGATAGATAGATAGATAGATAGAAGTGGCTTAGTCATGCTGGCCACGTGCCCCGGAAGCTGTACGCCGGCTCCCTCGGCCAGTAAAGCGAGATGAGCGCCGCAACCCCAGAGTCGTCCATGACTGGACCTAATGGTCAGGGGTCCCTTTACCTTGACCTTTTACTGTATCGCTTTAGGCTGCAGATAGAGCTCTGTATGTTTGAACAATCCACCCCACAAACAAAAGAAACTTCACTCCAGACCTATAGAGGAAGACAAGGCAGAGGAAGAGGCTGAACCCTTCTCCCTGACATACTGGTTTTCAATGTGAAGGAAATGGGAGAGCTTTCAAACATGCAACTCTACCTACAGCTTGGTAATCTTTTCCATGATTCTGCTGATTGTAGAAACTGTCCCTTGGAGCTAAAGAATAATGTTTTATTCAACTGCCAAAGTTTTAAGCAGTTGGGTTCTCTCAATTCTGCACTAGCGGGGATGCTGGTATTCCATTTCCTGCTCTTTCATAGTCCTTGCCACAAACTAATTCATGTATCTCTACCAGATTATGTGCCGAGCCAAATTGACTGATGTTGGAGAAAGCAGTGCCAGAGAGCTGGCAGATCTTCCATTAAACTGTGCAGAGTTTGTCCCATCCTTAAGTGCTTAGCTGGACAATGGCCAGAATGACTCAACACCTCCCAAGATCAAAGTTTTCCAGAACTGACTAGTATAATGATCAATAATGCTCCTCTTACCAAATTACTTTTCCCCCACCCCTTCCCAAACTGGTGAATTAAATCTACCACCCACCTTTCAATCATTGTTTGCAAAGGTCAAGAAGGAAGTTATGCCACCAGTTCACTTCACTTCAATTCCCCCCTTGATTTCCCCGCCATTCTGGGCCTCCAACGATGGAGCCTCCAGGGTAACTAACTTCTAGCAACCATATTACAGATCTACAAGTTGGGAACCTGGTGCAAGTCAAAAGAGTGCCAATGAAAGATCATAGAATCATAGAATCATAGAATAGAATCATAGAATCATAGAGTTGGAAGAGACCACAAGGGCCATCGAGTCCAACCCCCTGTCAAGCAGGAAACACCATCAGAGCACTCCTGACATATGGTTGTCAAGCCTCTGCTTAAAGATCAGCTGCTCTTGAATCATCTATTTCATCCTTGGATCGGTATAAACCAGACATGTTCAAATGGTCGACCGCGATCGACAGGTAGATCCCCGTTGATCCTGGTTGATAGCAGGATCCTGATCGATCATAGGATTAAAAAAACTGGGGAATGAATGTCTCCGCCCCCTGCCCCCCTCACTCTGTCGCTCCGTCGTGTCAAGTGGGCAGCGTTAGGCGTTTTCTCTTGGCGTCTGGGAATATGATGAGTGTTTTTAGCGCTGGATACGTTAGTTAGCAATGCAGTTTTTGGTGAGTGATTTATATCATTTCCCCTTTAAAAAAGCACAACTCTGGTCAATCCTCAATGACAATGGGTAGATCACTGCCAGTTTTGTTATACTGGAAGTAGATCCCAGTCTCTTGGGAGTAGGACGGGCCTGGTGTAAACAATAGTGCATTGTCTCTAGTAAACAGAGCTAGGCGGTGTTCACACTTCTGCAGAGAAATATTGTGATCCCTGGATAACACTCAAGAGTAAGTTACAGATAGGTAGCCGTGTTGGTCTGCCATAGTCAAAACAAAAAAATTCCTTCCAGTAGCACCTTAAAGACCAACTAAGTTAGTTCTTGGTATGAGCTTTCGTGTGCATGCACACTTCTTCAGATACCTTCAGATACCTTCAGATGCATGCACACGAAAGCTCATACCAAGAACTAACTTAGTTGGTCTCTAAGGTGCTACTGGAAGGAATTTTTTTTGTTTTGACTCAAGAGTAAGCAATTGAAACTGGTAGGAATTGCTACTAGTGTAGGAAGGATGGGCTTCTTCTACCAGGAGGCAAAAACCCCTGAATCACAATTGAGCAAGCAATATTTCAGATGTATTCCTAAGCAGCTGAAGTTAATGTGATGTTTTCTGAACCAGAACTGTACACCTGAAGGAGCGTCTCCACCCCCATCGTTCAGCCCGGACAATGAGGTCCAGCTCCGAGGGCCTTCTGGCAATTCGCTCACTGCGAGATGTGAGGTTACAGGGACCCAGGCAGAGGGCCTTCTCAGTGGTGGCACCCACCCTGTGGAACGCCCTCCCACCAGATGTCAAGGAAATAAAAAACTATCTGACTTTTAGAAGACATCTGAAGGTAGCCCTGTTTAGGGAAATATGTAATATTTCATGTTTTAAATGTTGGGAGCTGCCCAGAGTGGCTGGGGAAACCCAGCCGGATGGGCAGGGTATAAATAATAAATTCTTCTTCTTATTATTATTATTACTATTATTATTATTTACTGTAATTTTAATAGAGGAGAAACTATTTGCACCTTTTATAACACATCCTTAAACTTTAGAAACTTAAGAGACACCTGCTCACACACTGTTTGTTTTGAGAGGTACCTTCTGCTCTCCAGACATTTGCTGTTATATTTTCACTCTGCCATATGGTGCTTCCTTATCAGATCTGAAGCAAGACTGACACAAGTATGCTGGCGGCTTCTAGCTGTGGAGGCCTGGGAGGGAGCGTGGGGGGAACAGGCTAATCCTAGCCCTGACCCTTCCTGCTTCTGACCAGCCCATCACATTCTCAAATCACCAAGTGCAACATACAGCAGTTAATTATTCCATGAAATTTAATTATGAATTTTTTTTAATAACACTCTGCTTCTAAATCTGATTTACTGTGAACTGCTTTGAGAACCATTATTGTTGGAAAGCAGTATATAAATATTGTAAAGCAAACTGCTTTGAATAGCAGAGAAATATGCTAAATGTCAGAGTCATATATTAATAAGTGTAATGTGATTGGATGGACTCAGTTTTGCATCCGATGCATTTCTAAGTATCTATTAAATTATCAGGAAAATGTTCTGAATGGAAGAACTGCAGAAGGAAAACATGTGGGGAAGGAAGACAAGTAATATACTTCAGATTATCCTGCAAGAACGACAGGCCTCTTCCCTGTTTGCTGCCTAGGGTACCAGAGATACAAACTCAGAAGGGGGGAAATGGGCTGGTTAATATTTTAATGTGTTGACTCTGTCTCTACAATAGGTGGACTATTGTGGTTCTGGTCAAAAGTAATGACACGAATATCTGTCACCATCATAAATCCATACATGGCCAAAATGGAACCATCCACACAGAGGCTTGAGGGAATCTCTAAGTTTGCAAAAAATAGGCTTTGCGTGGGAGAATTGGGAGAGATCTATGCGGGGTTGTGGGTAACTAAAGAAAAAGCCCAGTAAGTGTAGAGTCTTTCCAGTCACTTAGATCCCTACTGGGTGCATGGGTAAGGGTTGATGAAATGGAGTGTCCTGGAAAGGGGCGTGGGTGGCTGGAATCCAAAACAGGAGAAAAACGCGCGCGCGCGATTTGCTGCAATCTGCGCTTGTCAACAGCCTGTTCCACACCCTGCAAGATCTCAGCGACCCGTCCCTGAAAACACCGCCTGCGTTTCGGGGGCTCCACAGGAGCTCCTGCGCAAAACCCTCCCCGACTTGGGGGTCTTCTCGAGCTACATTCCAACGACAGCCCCCCCAAATTCAAGCAGCCTGCAGAGAAGAAGGGCAGCCCTGAGAATCGCGCCCAGCGTGGCCGGGGAACTTGGTGCGCTTGTGTCGTCGTTGCTCGGCCGGGGGATCGCGCATCATCCACGCGCTCCAATTACGCAAGACAGCGGCAGGGGAGCCGCGATTGGCTGGTGGCAAGAGGATCCCCATCGCCACCCCACGGAAGGCGCGGCCAAGGGGGGAACAGCCCTCCCCGGAGCCCGCGCTGCAGCTGCTGCGCCCCCCCGAGAGCGCACGGGAGAAGCTGCGCCGGGGCGCGTTGCACCTACTTCTTGCAAGGGATGAGCTGCTTCCTCTCCTCCAGGACCCGCAGCCGCTGGTTCTGGCCGTCGTAGGACACGGCCGCCCGGATGCTCCTGCCGGTGCTGTGGTCGTACACCACCGTGCGCCCTTCCCACTGCAGCGGGGCCTGGCAAGGCACGGCCGGCGGCGTGCTTGTTGCCGTCGGGGCGCCGCCGGCCAGGCTTAAGGCGCCGCCAAGCAGCAGCGCCAGCAGCAGCCGCCGCCCGGGGAAGGCGCCCGGGGCCATGTCCCTCGCCGCGCTCTCCTGCAAGGGCGCCGGGTCGCTGGCTCTCCAAGGGCCCCTTCGGACGGCGAGAGAGGCTGGGGAGCGAGCGCGGGGCCGCGCCTGCTGCTGCTGCTGCAACCAGCCGAGGGACGGGAACTGCAGAGGGAGCCCGCGGCAGCCCAAACGGGCACCGTCTCTTTACCCAACAAGCTCTCTGCTTCCTCTGCGCCAGGGAAGAAGAAGAAGAGAGAGCCCTCTCCACTCGCTTTCCTCGGCTTGGAAAGGCAGCAAAACGTCGCCGCCGCCGCATTGCGCTTCCTAACGGCCGCGGAGTAGAAGCGCATCTCGGATGCTGCGCCAAGAGAGGCTCCGGGGCTCCATCGCTTCGCGCGATTATTTTGACACCACAAGGGGTCCTGATCAGCCCGGACCGAGGCCGTGTCGGATGCAGTAATCCTAACGAGGAAAACGAAATGCCTCTCTCCAATGTGTTGTCTCTGCGATTCCTTGGGCGTTCCTAATTGAACGATTTTTAATACCCCCCCCAACAGTATATAATCTGGAAACCGCACGTTGCAGAACCAAAACCCAAATATTGTTGTTATTTCTTAAATTTGTATGTGGCCCTTCATCCGAACATCACAGAGTGGTGCACAACATAAAACTACAAAATGAGAACACAAAATACACAATAAAAACCAGAACCAAAACGAGCCAGAACACCCCACTTCCCACAAACCCGTTTCAAATGACATAGATGATGGACCTGGGTGGTGTCTGTTTACCAAGCTAGTCCTGGAACTAGTGCTTTTCTCTGGGGGGTGCGCAAGGGTACGCATACCCCTAAACATTTTGTGAATCTAAGTTTGGCCTCATTGAGGGGCAGTATTTCAATATGAGTAGGAAAATGAGAGTACCCCTAAACATTTTTCAAGAAAAAAAGCACTGGGCACAACATTGGTAAGCCATGATGTAATCTGCATCTTAATATTAACTGTGGAACCAAACTCAATTTTGCCACTGAGCAATAATTTTTTGGCAGTAAAGCCCCTAGGACTTCCTTCCGAATAAATAGAATTCATGCTTATATTTTTAGAGGGAAGGATTCTGGTTCAGTAGAATAGCATGTCCGCTTTGCGTCCAGAAGGTCCCTGTTTCAGTGCCCAGCACTTGCAGGTAGGGCTGAGAATGCCCCCTGTCTGAAACTCTGGAAAGCCACTTTCTGCCACTACAGACTCGTGGTTCCCAAACTTCTTTCTCTGAGCCACACTTTGAGAATAAAAATTTGCTCCCCCATTTTTTTATTGATAAGAAACGCATTGGAAAACAAAAAGAAGCAACTCCTAGCAGTGCTTGATTTATAACACAGAACACAAGTACTTTATAATATGACCACGGGACATCCAGAAAATATAAAACAAGGCATCTGCATGAATTTTCTCAAAATATGATTATAAACGAGCCTCTTGCAAACGCACCATAAGTATGTGTACAAACTAATTTGAGACAAAGAAACTTGTCTCCTCATCAACACAAAGTCTTTCTCTTTTCTGATCTCATATCTGTCAGAATTGAAAACCCCTGTTCTCAGCAATTTGTCTTGGAGAATTGTAGAATAAGAGCCAGTACTCTTGAAGAATGGTGTGGTTAGTTTCTGGTTGTGCATCCAGTGTGCCATGCCACACCCTTTGAGAACCACTGCTATAGATAATCCTTAGCTAGGTTGACCCATGATATACGGCAGTTTCCTATGCTCTGTGTTTGGGATCCCACTCTAGTCTACTAATACCAAGTCCAGAGAGCGTGGCTTAGTCTGCTGTAGCCAACACAACCAAGTCTTGTGGCACCTTACAGACTAACACATTTATTATGGCATAACCTTTCCTGGACCAGAGTGTGCTTCGTCAGATGCATGAAGTGTTATCCTAAATTGCAGCTATATAAACAGATTGAGGGGGGGGGAGTATTAAATAGTGAGTTCAGAAGAAAGGACAGATTATGTTTGCATCATTAACAGTGGGAAATTCACAAAACCTTAATGGGCATCCTGCCATTGTTAACCCATACAATACTATTCTTACTACAGCTAGTACTTTGTACTCATAGTACTTGGCAGTACAACGACATATGGGAAGTACTAGTGCAGAAATGGAGTACCTGTAGTCCCCAGGTGTTGTTGGACTTCAACTCCCATCAGCCTCTGCCAGCATAACCCGTGACAGCAAATTATGGGTGTTAGGGTCCAGCAATATCTACAGGATCACATGTGAAGGACCTCAGTCCAGCTTATTTCACTGAGATTTAACTGCAAACAAATAAAAACCCTAAGTAGGCTCTGGGTTCCTGTGCTGTAAATAAGGTTTATACATGCATCCTTGATGACCTATTTTTCATTGCCCAGCTTTCCTATAATGGGTGCATTTAACTTTAATTGAAAGGGTATAATGTGTTCAGATAGTTCTGCAACTGTGCAGCTACATAACTGCTATATAAAAATTGCTGCACAAAAATTGCTATATAAAAAATATGTTATTTTAGCTAAAGATTAAAAAAGAAGATATGAGCAGCAAATTCTCTTTCTGCTCCATGTAGCAGTGTTTGAGTTTGGTTTCCCCATCACTAGTGTCAATTTACATGTGTTATCCTGAAGGAGTCAGGTGGGTGCATTGTTCCATCTTGGAGATGTTAACCTTGCTAGCTGTGGTGTCACAGACAGCTTTTCAGTGATTTAACTGAAAAACTCCATAGTGGAAATGGAGAGGGGAGACAATGTAAGTATGTTTTTCAGATGGTGCTCTGTGTCCCTGAATCCACCACATAACATAAAAAGAGCTCTGCTGGGTCAGGCCAAAGGCTTGCGTCCCATTCCCAGATTGGCTAACCAGATGCTTATGTGAAACCTGCAAGTGGAACATGAACACAACAATACTCTACACTAGTATTTGCCAGCAACTGGTATTCAGAACCACATCACCTCTGATCCTGTAGGTAGTATAGCCATCATGGCTGAAAGCCATTCATGTGTACCCACCTGACCACAATACTTGGGGCTTAGGATGAATGGGAGGAAATGAAAAAGGAGAACAACATCTTGGAGATGTCATTCAGTTTATACGCTAGATGGGACACATAGGCTATTTGGTCAAGATTGTGTTCAGGGGAACATGAATGATTGGATTGTGCCCCAGGAAATCAAAGGCTGGCCTGGTTCACAAAATTAAAATGGGTTTCAGAAAATATGAGCACACACTTGAAATAGAAGGTGATTGTTGCTATGGATCTAGCCTTGTGCTGTATTTTAAGGACAATATGAATCCGGACAATTTGATAAGCATATATATCTCACCATACTGAATCATGTAAATAAATAAAAATCAAATGTGACATGGCCAAAATAATTGTGTTTTACATCACTAGTGATGTCACTGGCATTATCCAATAGGTGCCTATAGCAACTTGTACATCCTTCTAAACCAGCAGTGCTTGTGTTGTGGAGTGCCATTTTCTCCTTTCCCCAATTACTACTCTCAGGGGCACTTCTTTTTTCTTTCTTTCTTTCTAAAGATTAATAAAGGATACTTCTTCATAGAACACTATTGTGAACTTATGGGTGCTCTGCCGAGGTCCCTGATAACTGTTCTGCAAGGATTGGGACTCCTTGCCTGACCCAGGGTCCGAAGAAAGTCTGCAGGTGCCCTCAGAGTGAGAGTCTGTTTCTAGCAGAAGGATGTCCCTCCTTGGGTGTGAGATGGTGGGCAGAAGTGATCGTGACTTGTTGGGTTCTGTAGACTTTCATAGGACCACAGGATTGTATAGCTGGAAGGGATCTGGTCCAAACCCTCTGCAATGCAGAAATCTCAGCTAAAGCATGCATGACAGATGGCCATCCAACCTCTGCTTAAGAACATCCAATGTTTAGTAATACTGTTCCAAATTCTTTCTGAAATATTTGGCTGTGGTAGATTTTGTTGGTGTTGTTTTCATAATGTGTTTGGGATGAGTTTGGATAGGAAGAGACATGTGTGATGTCACCCCAGTTTCTGTGATCATGGGCAGAGGAAGATACAGCCATGGGAAGTGATAGGTTATGGTGGAAGAGGAGGAGAAGGCAATTTATGTCTTGTTCTTCACTCCCATTCCTCCCATGGACAGGTTCCTGGTTACTTCTAAGATAACACCACCGTTATCCATGATTTAGTGCCAGTCTGGTGTGTATTACTGAGACCTGTGTGGGCGAGCATGGACAAAATGATCAGACCCAGCTGTGCCCACCTGGAAACTTGGTGTAGCATCAGCACAGGCTGGAGGGATGGAGGGAGAGGTTGCCGTGGTCCCCAGGATTTCTATCACCAATTAATTTATCTGTCTTGGAGCTGGCTTTGAGGGCACATCCTGGGCCTGATATTGAGCCCAGGAGAAAGGAAACTAGGACTACTGCTGGTGTGCTGTCCATCCTGCACCTTCTCTGACCAATGCAGTGGAGGTGGTGTTGAGTGTGGTGTTGGAGGAACCCAGAACAATATTCCTGGTGATTTCAACATCCATGCTGAGGCTGCCTCTATTGTTCTGGCTCAGGATTTCATGACCTCCGGTCTGTGACTTAGGGCATGTTTTACACCCTCAAGTTGATTTTTGCTCCAGAAGGAAGATTATCCTGACCCTTTCAACCTGGGCCGAGGCCTTCTCATGGGACTAAATTGGACTTGGTTACCCTGAGGGATGAACATTATTGGGGGAGGGACAAAGAGAGTGTCACCCTGTTATTCTTACTTGACTTTTGATACCATTCACTATGGTATCCTTCTGAGATGACTTGGTGGGTTAGGTATTGGAAGCACTGTTTTACAGTTCTTCCAATCCCACTTCAAGGCTTGGTTTCAGTGAATAGCACTGGGTGATTGTCTTTCAGCCCCCTGGCAGTTGTGCTGTGTGGTGCTGCAGGGTCCCATCTTGTTCCCAATGCTGTTTAATATCTATATGAAGCCTCTGGGAGAAGTCATTATGATATTTGAGGGCAAGGTGTCATCAGAACGCTGGTGATACCCATCTCTACTTGTCTGTAACATATGAATCACGAGATGCTGTGCAAACCCTGAACCAGTGTCTGGTCTCAATGGTGGGCTGGATGAGGGCCAAGAAACTGTATCTGAATCCTCACAAGATAGAAGTGCTGTTGGTTGGTGGTCCTGAGTCCAGATAATTGGCCAATTGCCTGATAATTGTGCTGATAACCTCTGAGCTTGTAGTATTGCAATGCACTCTGTATGGGGCTGCCCTTGATGTTGGTACAGAAGCTGCAAATAATGCAGTATGCAATGGGTCAACTACCCTCTGGGGCAGGATGTCGCCAACATGCTGCTCCATGGTTCAAGGAATTGCGCTGGCTGCCAATTAGCTAGTGTGCTAGGTTCAAGGTGCTGGTTTTGGTATATAAA